CTCCTCCCTCCTTCGCCTCCTCCTCCTCCTCCTCCTCCTCCTCCTCCTTCTCCTCCTCCTCCTCCTTCTCAGTGACGTGCTGGCCCAGGGGGAGTGGGGAGGGGGGGCGCCCACCACCGCGGCGGGTCCGGGGCGCGGCCTCCCTGCCAGAGCCGGGCGCGCGGGCGGCGGCCCCCGGAGAGAGAGGGGGGCCCCGGGCGCGGGGCGCCAGAGGGCGGCAGCAGCTGGCTGCCACTGTGGCACCGGCCTGGCAGCCAATCGCACGGCCAATGTGTTCAGAACAGGAAAAAACACATAAGCACAAAGGGTTTTCTTGGTTCTACGCCGGAACGGGGCGTCGTTGAGAGGGTGCCTGGCACGGACGCGGGGATCGGGGTGGTGTCGGGCCTGGCACGGACGCGGAGATCGGGGTGGCGTCGGTGTTCGGAGCTGGCGGTTTGCGTGGCAAGTGCGTTTAGCTGGTCGCATCGGGCGTCGGGGAGCTCGGGCGTCGTCTTCGGTGGAGTCTGCTGGAACCGAAGAGCACACGCTCGAGCCGAGCGGTTGCGGCTGCCAGCTGTGCTGGCCGTCTTCCGTCGCCGTTCTGGCTCGAGCCGTGCTGGTTCATGCAGAGTCTCGCTTCGCGCCGCTGCGCGATGCATCGCCGATGCCTTGCACAGCGGACACACCGGCCCGCTTGCACTTTTTCATTCGTGTTCGAGAGTGTTTTGCCGAGTTCGATGGCGAGGAGCAGGTAAGACTACTATTGACACGATTAGTGCTACTAGCACTACTTGTGCTATTCCTTTTGTTAGTCTAGCACCGCGGAGGGCATGATGCCAGAGGCTTTAAAGCCCACGAGTGTGCGATCGGTACGCAACTTATCATGCATCATCGCCATCGGCACCGTCATTATCGAACCCACTTCTCGCTTCAAGACTCCGAGTGCTGCAATACTTGTGCACTCATGTTGAACCACTCCTGCGTTCATGTTGCACTAATTCTGCATCCACCCTGCTTCATATGTGTACATTCTTTCTGCATGGATGCTGCATTACCTTTGGCGGCGCTCTGCGCTAACTCTTCGGTGCCGTGGGTCTGTGCATGCTGGGGAGGGACGCCACACTACGAAGACATCAGGCAGTGCACGAACGACAGGAGGAGGAGGAGGAGGAGGAGGAGGAGGAGGAGGAGGAGGAGGAGGAGGAGGAGGAGGAGGAGGGAGGAGGAGCAGGAGGAGGGGAGGAGGAGGTGAGGAGGAGGAGGAGAGGAGGAGGAGGAGGAGGAGGAGGAGGGGAGGGAGGAGGGGAGGAGGGGGGAGGAGGAGGAGGAGGAGGAGGAGGAGGAGGAGGAGGAGGAGGAGGAGGAGGAGGAGGAGGGAGGAGGGTGGGGAGGAGGGGAGGAGGAGGAGGAGGAGGGAGGAGGAGGAGGGAGGAGGAGGAGGAGAGGAGGAGGCGGAGGAGGAGGAGGAGGAGGAGGAGGAGAGGAGGAGGAGGGAGGCGGAGGATGAGGAGGAGGAGGAGGGAGGAGGAGGAGGAGCGAGGAGGAGAGGAGGAGGAGGAGGAGGAGGAGGAGGAGGAGGAGGAGGAGGAGGAGGAGGAGGAGGAGGAGGAGGAGGAGGGGGGGAAGGGGGAGGAGAAGGAGACGGAGGAGGAGGATGAGGAGGAGGGTTCCAGTTCGAATCCTACCCTCATGTGAGGAGGGAGGGAGGGAGGAGGGAGGGAGGGAGGGAGGGGGCGGGAAGGAGGGATGGGAGGGAGGGAGGAGGGAGCCCGTTCCCCGCGGGGGGGCCTGCAAGGCGGGCGGGGGGGCGCTTGGCAGGCGGGCCCGCGGGGCGTTCGCAGCCGCCAGGTTGGGGAGAGGCCACCGGGCGGGCTCGAGGGAGGCCTCCTCTCTTCTACTCCGACCTCCTCCTGACCCCCTCGACTATCTCCTCCTCCACCTCCTCCCCATACCCCCTCCCTACTCCTCCCTCCCTCCCTACTCCCTCTCCTCCTCTCTTTCCTCCTCCTCCTCCTCCTCCTCCTCCTCCTCCGACCTCCTCCTCCTGGGGCGCTGCCCGTGGGGAGATCCCGAGCAGTAGCTTCCGGCGCTTCGCCTGCGATCTCTTGCGGCGGCGCCACTGGCTGCCGTGCAGCTTGCCCGCTATACGTGGGTCCGTGCTGTCATAACAACCGCGGCAGCTGCGACCACTGATGCACCAGCACAGTAGAATATGATTGCTGCTGTCGATGGGAGCATTGTTCTGCTGCTGGCCGTGCTGCTCCACGATTCGTGTGACGCACGCAAAGGCCACGTCGGCGACTTCGGCTACCACGAAGACCACGATGCTGACCGCTACCACCATGAACACGACCACGAAGATGACGGCGACGACTGCGACGACGGAGCTGTCGACGGCGGCGTCGTCGTCGGCGATGGCGGCGGCGGCGACGGCGGCGGGCTCTGGAGGTACTCTCTGAGGCGGCGCTGCGCGACATCAGGAACTTCGAGCGCGACCTGCTGAGCGGGAGCGAGTGGTGGGGGGCCCTGCGGGCGTGACGCCGTCGTCGTCGTCGTCGTCGTCGTCGTCGTCGTCGTCGCCGCCATTGTCGTCGCCGTTGTCGTCGTTTTCGTTGCCTTCGTTTGTCGTTATCGTTGTTCGTTAGCTTTTTTTGCGGTCGTCATTGTCGTCCTGGTCGTCGTTGTTCGTCGGAATTGCTGTCGCAATCGTCGTCGCCGTCGCCCTCGTGGTCGCCAAGGTCGTCTTCGGGGGGGCCGTCGTCCTCCTTACCGCCCTCGCCCTCGACCGCCTTCGCCCGGGGGCGGGGGGGGCATGAAGCCGCTGCCGTCGATGCCTGCTGCCTTCGTCGCCCCCCCCCCGTTGCGCGGGCGCTCCCGCGCAGATGCAGGCGCGGGGGCGCGGCGTGGCAGAGCTGCACCAGCGAGCGGCGATCCGGGGCAACCGACACGCGGGTTGGCCGGCGTGCACGGGGGGGGGGGAGCAAGACGGGCGGGGCGTGCACGAGGAGAGCCGGAGGCGGCGGAGGGCACTCCGGCGCGCAGAAGCTCCAGGCCGAGTGCAAGCGCGCGCGCACGGCACATTCTTGGACCCCCCCCGCAGAGCAAAGCAGGAAAAGCCGGCCCCCCCTCGAAGACCTCTCGCCGCTGCTGCCGTCGGCGGCCTCCTCTGCGCCCCGGCGGCCGTGCAGGGGCGCCAAGAGATAGCGCCGCCGGCGGCCGCCGCAGCGCCGAGCGCGCGCCGCGGCCCCCGCTGTGCCCCGAGGTCCAGCATGTGCGGCAAGTCGGGCGCGCCGTTTCGGTGCGCGCTCCCAGCGGCCTCGGAGCGGGCGCCGCCGTCGGCGGTCGCCGTCGGAGGCGTCGTGGTCATGGTCGGTCGGGCGTCGTCGCCGTGGTCGTCTTGTCGTCGCCGTGGTGGTCGTCGCCGTCAGGGCTGCAGCCGTGGTCGGGCGACGACGAGGAGAGTGTGGAGTGAATAGGCGGATCGGAAGGAGGAGGTAGAGCAGGAGGTGGGAGGAGAGAGGAGGGGGAAAATTGAGGAGGAGGAGGAGGAGGGGGAGATGGAGGAGAAGGAGGAGGAACGGATTACACTGGCGAGCGGTTAGGACCAGTATGAGGTGGAAGGAGGAAGGGAGAGAGAGAGGATGAGGTGAAGGATGAGGTGAAGAAGGAGGAGGGTATGGAGGCTGCGGCGGAGGAGCTCTTCCTATCTCCGTACTCCTTCCGCCCCCGCTCTCGCTCTCTGAGGGCGTCGTCGCTGGTCGCCGCTGCGCGGCCGCGGCGGATCGAGGTTCGAGAATCGAGGCGTGCAGAGCATGCCAGGGCGTGCTTCCGCAGAGGAAATCGAGCGACTGGGCCGCGCCGCGGGCCAACGGCAGTCTTTCCTGCACGTCAAAAGAGAGAGAGAGAGAGAGAGAGCATGGAAAGACACACACACACAACGTCACATTATACATACACGTAGTACCCCGCAGTCGCGGACAAGAGTGAGGAGGCGGCGGGGACGTCGGCAGTCTGCGAGGCTCTGAAGAAGTTTTGAGAGACTTCCCACGGCACCCTAATATACATCTACTACATGCATCTGGTCCACAACAGCCGTTTTTGGGGTGCCGCCAGATCGGATCAGGTTTTAGTTGTATGTGTATGTGTGTATGTGTGTGCATGTACGTACATGCACACATAGAGTCAGCTTGTGGTTAGCAGATGAGGCCTCCCCCTGGGGCTGATGAATGGACCCCGCGGGGCGCGAACCAATTTTTGGAGTCGCGCGCGCAAGGGGGTCGTCGCGGGCGCCGTCGAGGGGATCGTGTACCCCACTGCACGGCAGCCTCAAAACGGTTGCAATTCGTATAGAAGGTGTTATAGGGATCGTATGCATCCGAGGCGAAGGTTTCCCCCTCTCAGGCTGATTGCTGACGTGGCAAGGTCGTCGTCGTCGTCGTCGTCGTCGTCGTCGTCGTCGTCGTCGTCGTCGTCGTGGGCACAGCAACTTCCACTGGGGCCTTTTCGGTGAAGCTCCCTATGGGGCCACGAAACGCCGTACTGGGTGGCGCGGCACGCATGTGGGCACAGCCACTGGGGTCTTCGATGGAGCTCCTATGGGGCCACAAAAACGCTTTACTGGGTGGCGCGGGGCGCATGTGGCCACAGCCACTGGGGTGTTTCGGTTGAGCTCCCTATGGGCCCACGAAGCGCCGTACCAGGTGGCGCGGCACGCATGTGGGATCAGCCACTGGGGCGCTCGATGGAGCTCCCCCCTGGGGCCACGAAGAGCCGTAATGGGTGACGCGGGACGCATCTGGGCACAAACATTGGGGCCTTCGATGGAGCTCCCCACTGGCCACGAAGCACCGTACTGGTTGGCGCGGGTTGCGTGTGGTCGCAGCTTCTGGGGCCTTCGGTGGAGCTCCCTATGGGACCTCGGAGCGCCGTACTGGGTGGCGCGGCACGCATGTGGGCACAGCCACTGGGGTCTTCGATGGAGCTCCCTATGGGGCCACAAAAACGCTTTACTGGGTGGCGCGGGGCGCATGTGGGCACAGCCACTGGGGTGTTTCGGTGGAGCTCCCTATGGGGCCACGAAGCGCCGTACCGGGTGGCGCGGCACGCATGTGGGATCAGCCACTGGGGCGCTCGATGGAGCTCCCCCCTGGGGCCACGATGAGCCGTATTGGGTGACGCGGGACGCATCTGGACATAAACATTGGGGCCTTCGATGGAGCTCCCCACTGGCCACGAAGCGCCGTACTGGTTGGCGCGGGTCGCGTGTGGTCGCAGCTTCTGGGGCCTTCGGTGGAGTTCCCTATGGGACCACGGAGCGCCGTCCTGGGTGGCGCGGCCCGCATGTGGGCACAGCCACTGGGATCTTCGGTGGAGCTTGCGATGAGGCCACACAACGCCGTACTGGGTGGCGCGGGGCGCATGTGGGCACAGTCACTGGGGTCTTCGGTGGAGCTTCCTATGGGGCCGCGAAGCGCCGTACTGGGTAACGCGGGGCGCATGTGGGCACAGCCACTAGGGTCTTCGGTGGAGCTTCCTCTGGGGCCACGAAACGCCGTACTGGGTGGTGCGGCACGCATGTGGTCACAGATTCGGGGGCGTTCTGTGGAGTCCCCATAGGACCACGAAGCGCTGTACTGGTTGGCGCGGGACGCATGTGGGCACAGCCACTGGGGCTTTCGGTGGAGCTTGCGATGAGACCACAAAACGCCGTACTGGGTGGCGCGGGGCGCATGTGGGCACAGTCACTGGTGCCTTCGGTGGATCCCCCCCTTGGGCCACGACGCGCCGTACTGTGTGCGGGGGGGCAGAGACACGGATAGGAGAAGGAAGGGGTGGAGGAGGCGGGAGGAGGAGTCGCGGGGCGTTGTCTTTTCAAAGAGAGGACCCAACACCAAAGGATGGTTGGGGGAAAACGGTCGAGACAGAGAGTAACTATAGTATGTATATATATATAGAGAGAGAGAGAGAGAGAGAGAGAGAGAGAGAGCGAGGAAGAGAGAGGGAGAGAGAGAAAGAAAGAGAGAGAGAGAGAGAGAGGGAATCAGATCCCCTCACTCACCCACTCCCCCTCTTTCTCTCTCTCTCTCTCTGTCTTCCTCCCCCTCCCCCCCTTCCCTCCTCGATCCCCCCCTTCCCCTCGGCCTTCTCCTTCACCTGCCAGCCCATGAGTCGGCCGCTCCACTGCCCCCTCCCCTGGCCCCCCCGCCGCGTCTTCCCCTCTGGACCCCCCAGGGGCCCTCCAGAGCCCCCTGAGCCCTCCTTCCTCCGCCTGCCTGCTCCCTCCTCCTCCTCCTCTGCCCTCCTCCTCCTCCTCCTCCTCCTCCTCCTCCTCTGCCCTCCTCCTCCTCCTCCTCCTCCTCCTCCTCCTTATCCTCCTTTCCACGATTGTATATATACTACCCCCTATCTCCCCTCAAGCTGTCCTGGAGATGGCCGTGCTTCTCCGCGTATTGTTCCCACTCACAGGATTCAGCGTTTGTTTTGTGTTTTGCCATCCGATGGTGTTTGATGTTTTAACATGGTGCTCCCGCCGCAGCGTGATCGGCGCTTTTGCTCCCGTGGTTCAGAATGACGCTCTCGCCCCAGCGTGGGCCTCTTCTGGATCCCACAGGTCTCGCACACAGGTTTGGCAGGTGTTACAGGCCCCACAGGCCACAGAGGTGTCCCAGGTCGCACAGGTCCCACAGGTCCGTCCAGTCCCACAGGCCCTACAGGTTTGGCAGGTCTCGTAGGTCCCACAGGTTCCACAGAAGTCCCACATGTTCCACAGGTCCCGCAGGCGCGGCAGGTCTCCCAGGCCCCACAGGCTACAGAGGTCCCCCAGGTCGCACAGGTCCCACAAGTCCCGCAGGTCCCCGAGGTCTCACATGTTCACAGTTCCCACTTGCCCCGCAGGTCCCACAGGTCTCACAGGCCAGAAGTCCCACAGGTTTCTCTCAAGTCCCACGGCTAGTACACGAATCACTTTTGCTTCTGTTCGGGTGCTTTGCTGGGGTGATGGGATTCCAGATCGGCTATAACACGCGTTCGCGTGCAGAGAGAAAACATAACCACGGGACTGGATTGGAGGGGGGGGAGTAGGACGTCAGATGTGGCGCGAGCGCACCTGGCTCCCCTCTCTCCTCTCTCCTCCCCTCTCCTGCTCCTCATCCTCCGCCTCTCTCCTCTCTCCTCTCTCCTCCTCCCCTCCCTCGCCCTCCTCCGCTCCCTGCCCTCCCCTGGAGCCAGGTGCAGCCCTGGCGAGTCCATCGGCAACTACGTGTGGCCGACCCGCCAGGCCCGCCCGGCCCGGCCCCGCCCCCGCCCAGCCCCTCCCGCGGGGCCGGCGCGCCTGGGGCCGGGGGCGGCCAAGGGGGGGGTGAGGACCAGGGGGGGGATGTCCCAGCGGGGGCCATGGCATCTCCCCAGATCTCATGGCGCCTCTTCTCATCTCATTACGTCCCCCGCCCCCCCCCCGCCGGGCCGCGCACGTGCTGCCGCCATCCATGATTTGCGCCTCCCCTCCCTTGGACGCCGCCCTCTTGGCCGCCCCCGATGGGGAGGCTCGGCCGCGGGGGGACGAGGACGAGGCGGGAGGGTGTAGTTTTCTTGTTTCAAGAACCAGGCGATCGCAAACACGGGTCAAGGGGGCGTGGATTGGCGACGGGTCCCGTTCCCAGGGGAATTCGCGACTAGGCGCCGCCGCACGAGGCGGCACCGGCCGTATTTTGGGGAGGGCACCTCCCTCGACCCACGGATTTTGGCGACCGCGCGCCAAATCCGTGGATCGCCAATCCATGCTGTTTGCTTGCCCCCGAGAGAGATCCTGGCCGACAGCGGGCGTCACCAAGGGGGGGAGGTGAGGTTTGGACCAACGCCGCCAGGTGTCGCTCCGGCGCCGCCTGGATGCCTGGGAGTAAGAAGAGACAACTCGGAGGTCGGCACGCATCGTGGCGCTACTTGGGCGGTCGGGGCCAATCACGGCAGCTTTTACGCAACATCTAAAAGGGCTCTCGTGGACCCACACCCTGGGTGTGGGTCCACGATCGGCTCGAGACGGACCCTGGGTCCCAGGGTCCGTCTCGAGCCGATCGATTCGATTCGATGTCGCTTCCGGCGGGATCGATCCGATGCGCTTCCGGTGTTCCGACGATCCGGTGTGGCCCGACGTCTGTACGGCGCGGCCGTGCATCTTGACGTGGCCGATCCGATTCGATTTCGACTCCGCGCTCATTCCGCCCGATTTTTCGCGGTTTTCGGCGAGGCTGTGTCGGGCTTGTGTCCAGAGGTCCGTCAGAGAAATGAAGACCGAGCCCTGGGAAGGGGTCGAGACGTCTGGGGTTTGGCGACTCGAAAACAACTAGCAACCGGATGAATTGGGATGACCAACATCGCGGTTGCATTGTGCGTCACGTTTTGGGCTTGTGGTTCCTGGGGATGAGTCGGATGAGTGAAGAGCGAGGAGGATGGGGCAGAGGAGGACAAGAGGGTGCGGGAGGAGGTCTCTTTCCCCTTCGCTTTGCAATCCTCTGTCCCGGCTCCCCACTTCCCTACCCCCCCTCGCCTTCCTCTGGAGAGGAAAAAACACACAGACACAATTAATCGTCGATCCCCAGGAAAATATGGGAAGTGGGGGGGAAGACAACAACCCAGAAAATATGGGAAAATATGGGGAATATTTTTATTTGTGTGTATTTATTTGTGTGTCCTGGGGCCCCTTCACTTCCCTCCCCCTCTCCTACTCCCCCTCTCCCCTCTTCACCCTTTGCAGTCCCCTCTTTCCCCTCCTCCCCCTCTTCGCTCCCCCTCTGCCACTCCCTCTCCCAGCTGCCGTCTCGCTCCGCCACCCCCTCGGCCCTTCCATCCCCCCCTCGCCCCCTCAACCCTCAGGAGGGAAAAAAACACACAGACACAATGAATCGTCGACTCCCCAGAAAATATAGGAAAAAACGGGAAGTAGTGGGGAAGACAAAAACCCAGAACATATGTGAAAATATGGGGAGTCTTTTTATTTGTGTGTCTTTCTTTGTGCGCCCCAGGGCTCCTTCAAACCCTCCTCTTCGGACCTTCACCCCCCCCTCGCCCGCCCTCTCGAGAGGCCTCCGGAGGGCCGCAGGCGGGCGCAGGACGTCCGGAAGCCCTAGGCTCCTCCCTCGCATTTCGCCCGCCCTCCGGGCGCCGGGCGGCTGTGATCCGTCCCCTCCGCGGGCCCCTGGGGGTGGCAGCTCGAGGCCGGACCCGCCTCCCGGTGGCCCCAAGGTCGGGCGGGCGGTAAGGGGGCGTGTCGGGGGTGGACAGAACCCCCAACAGTGACACGTCGATTAGTGAATTGTCCGTTGTCGGTTCTCGAGAGGGCGCCGTGGCCGTCATCTTCCAGGCTTGCGCCCGCCAGGTTTGGGCCTCAGGTCGTTTTCACTAAACCACGTTTTAATAAAGGGGGGTCTGTCCATGGCGAAGAACGAGGCCTGGAACGGGGCCCTCGAGGGCCCCTGTTGGGGCCGGCTGGTTCCCAAAAGGGGCCCTGCAGGATCCCTGCAGGGTCGCCTTTTTCACCCCCCAATTTGGGTCCACCCCCTATCACAACCCGCCCGACCAAGGTTAAGTCGGGCCTGTGCCTCTACAGAGGGAATATTCAAAAATAGTAAGAAAATAGTCTGGGGACGATTTTTCGAGCATTTTTGACGAATTTGGGGTATTTCTGGAGTATGCTCAGTTTTTCGTCCAAAACCCCCCTGTAGGTGGACATGCCCGACCAAAGACTGAGGCCCTCGGCAGCACGCCATGGGAGCTTTGTGTGCCTCCTCCTCCTCCTCCTCCTCCTCCTCCTCCTCCTCCTCCTCCTCCTCCTCCTCGTGATTCCGTCTTTCGCGTCGACCCGAAACGATGAGCGTCTGGTAATCGATGGGAGAGCCTCTCGGGCTGGACGAGAGGAGGGCCTCCTTGGAGGGGGAAGCAGGCCAGTGGAGCCTTGTATATCCAGGCCTCCTACATCGGGTCCGAGTGGGTGGGGTCGGAGGTGCGCGCCGCATCGCCGATGCATCGCCGATGCATCAGCGATGTGGCTCGATGTGGAGCCCGACTTGCCTCACGCCAACGCCGCCGATGCATCGCCAATACATCGCCGATGCATCGCCGATCTATCGGCGATGCGGCGCGATCCTCCGACTCCATCTACTCCGACCCCATCTACGACGCCTCTAGCAATTCCGTCTTCAGCGGCGGCTAGCGTCGATGAGCGTCCGGTCATCGATGGGAGAGCAAAGACTCAGTGTCCATTGGCGTCGATCAGCGTCGACGTCTTGCGTCGACGAGCGTCCACTCGCGTGAGCCAACACGATGGTATGGGAGGCTCCCGTGAGCTGCAACTGAAGGGCAGCTGGGTGCATCATCTGCTGTGTGCAGCTGGTCTCGGCGCCGCCGCCGGGTGCCGCCCCTCGAGGCCTGTTGGGCGCCTCCGGCGCTGCGGAGCGCCAGGGCCACCGGCTGCAGGCGCCGATTCGCCAAGCCAGCTCCGCGACGCCGTGAATTTCTGCATGACTCAGGAGGGGAAAAAACACACAGACACAATTCATCGTCGACCCCCAGGAAAGTATAGGAAAAATATGGGAAGTGGGGGGGGAGACAAAAAAACCCAAAATATGGGAAAAGATGGGGGACTCCTTTGATTCGTGTGTATTTATATTTTTGTGTCCCAGGGCCCCTTCAATAACGTGCACCCCAAGAGGTCTGCACCCCTGCCGGAGGTCCTGGTCTCCACGCGGCGCCGCTCCTCGACGGCCCCGAGGCCCCACTGGGGGCCCCGCGCAGGCCGAGCCTGGCGGCAAGCCCTGCGTCGCGTGTTTTTTTTTGCAGCGCGAGGGGCTCTGGAGCCCTTCCTCGACCAGCCCGGCTTTCGGCCGACCCGATCCTCGAGCAGTGGCGAAGCGTCCCGGCTCGCTTGTATGCGGGCAATACTTATGTCTATAGCCACTGCAGTATGGAGTTTCGGGCTCCCTTCCGAAGAAACCCGAGGCGCACTGGATATGGATAAATTTGCCCACTAGAGGCTCGATTTTTATCCATATCCAGTGCGCCTCGGCCTTGTGGCGCCGCTTCCAAAAAAGTCCAAGAGGCACTGGATATGGACATGAATATTGCCCGCATTGTAGTCCCATTAAACAATGTTCTAAGAATCTTTTTGGTGGTTTCCACGACATGTTCTTAGCACAGTTTTGGCGGAGCCCGTCTTGTTTTTATCACAGCGGGTCTGTGCTCTGAGAACATTGTTTTTTGTTCTTCGAACATTTCTGGGTTCTGAGAACCTTCCGTGGTATGACTATAGGCGTGCCGGGACTGCCGGTCCCTGCTCAAGATCCTCGCCTCGGCCGCAGGACGAGGTCGCGTACAACTCGGGGGTGTTCCAGTACGCGGGGGGCGAGTTCGGGCTCACCTTCGACGGCACCGCCCGGGAGCGCCTGCACGAAGCCGCCGCCCGGGCCTCGGCTCCCTGCCCCCCCGGGCCTCCCGCCCACTTAAAACGACGTGAAGATCTGGACAAAATCGGATCGGGATAACTCGAAGTCTCTGAGAATCGGCGGGTTTGGAGGATGTATTGGGCGCCGCGGCCGCTCCAGAGCGTTCCGGAACGCTCTGAGAGCGCTCCGGGACGCTCTGGAGCGATTTATCCCGATCCTAGCCCTGTTTTACCACTTGTCTTCCGTTTTCTCCGCCTGGGCACGGTGCGGCGCGCGCGCAGCCTCGGCACGGGAGAGCACGCACACCGTGAAGCCTGCCTGGCAGCTTTCCCGCTGCAGCTGCTGCTGCTGCTGCTCACTTCTTGGCATCGCTCGGACGTGTGTATTTTTTCTCGGCGACGGCCATCGAGGACCATCCTTGATCATTTGGCGAAACAACAAAACACGCACAGCATCGACAAGTACACGAGGAATGGACGTCCGAGCGATGGCGAGACTTGCCTCCAAGATCTTAGCACGCGACACGTCCAGTGTCCACTCCAGACTCAGCGCCTCGGCCAAAAGTGAAGACTGCAATGTACCAAGAACATTGCCCCCAAGGCACCAGGAAGCTTGTTCCCTCCTCCTTCCCCCCCTCACTTTCCCACCTCCTCCTCCCCCCTTCCTCCCCCGCTTCCTCTTCGAAGCCTTCGCGGCCTTTGTGGACAGGGAGGGCATTGCCCAACCCTTCTCCAAAAAAAATTACCCTGTGACGTACCCAACTCACTTGCATCAGGTGACAGGGAGTTGGCCCAAATTGGCATGGATACGGACAGTGACGGTGCCGCCATCTGCTGGGCGAGCTCTATGGGAAGCGCGCGCGTTGAACGACTCACTGGGCAGCAACAGAAGGACGAGGACTGAGGTCCCAGGCTTGAAGGAGAAAGGGGGGTGGGAACGAGGGGCAAGAGTTAGGGCGGGCCTGTCCCTCTACTACTACAGGATGAACATTCAAACATAGTCAAAACAAGTCAGGGGACGATGTTCTGATTATTTCTTGAATCTTTTCGATTATTTTTAGATTTTTTCTTCAAATCCGCCTGTAGGGTGACGCGCCTGACCGAAGGCAAGAGAAGGGCACAGGGCGCGAGCGGGGCCGCAAGGCCGGCGCGACAGCAGCAGGGAGGCAGTGGCGAAGGGGACAGAGACCACGAAACAGGCGGGATGGGGACCAACGTGCGCTGTTTCCCAGCCGTCCTGCGATGGGTTCTTCAGAGCCCCGAATCATCAGGGGTAACTCGGGTCAGGGATAACTCGGGTTCGTTTTTCGGGAACCCAAGCCCGAGTTACCCCGGACCCGAGTTACCCCGGATAACTCGGGCGTCCAGAGCCCCGAAATCATCAGGGGTAACTCGGGTCAGGGGTAACTCGGGTTCCTTTTTCGGGAATCCAAACCCGAGTTACCCCGGACCCGAGTTACCCCGGATAACTCGGGCGCCCAAACTGCGGTCGCGCACCCTCTCCTTCCCATCCCCCTGTTCCTCGCCTGTCTGTCATCCGTCCTCTGTCCTGCCTGCCACCATGGCTCCTGCGTCGCCGTCCTGCATGACTTCGCCATCCTTGGGGGCTGCGATTTGCGGAACTACTGTTACTCTCAATGCTGGGGGGGTCCACCGGAGTTACGCCGTACGCGGGTTCAGTTGAGACCTCGTCATCCCTGGGGGGCTGCGAACTGCCCGCTGCGGGGTCCAGCGGACGAACGCCGTACGCAGATTCAGATTAGAAGACTAGACCTTGCCATCTCTGGGGGGGTCTGCGAACTGGGAAACCGTCGCCATTTCCGAGAGTTGCTCGGGGGGTCGGCGGAGTGACGCTTTACGCGGGTTCAGATTCGACCTCGCCGTTCCTGGGGGCTGCGAACTGGGGATCTGTCGCCGCTTTCGAGGGTGTCCAGCGGAGTGACGCCTTACGCAGAGTCAGATTCGACTTCGCAAGCTGGACATGCAACGTGGCAGACGCAATGCCGCTCTGGCGCTCCCCGAGGCTGGTGCAAGAAGCTAGTGCAAGAAGCGAGCGAGGCCTGGCTCGCACGCCAGCTTCTCCGCCTCCTTCCTGCACACTTGGGCGCGGGGGCCACGCCCCGGGAGACGCGCCGCCGGGCCTGCGGCGGCCCGCAGGCAAGGGAATCAAGGCTGGGGTCGCGCATCACGGGATGGCGAGGTGCAGCCTGCTACTCTGAGTCTGCGTGCTGCGTCAGTCCGCTGGACCCCAGCAGCCCCCAAAAGTGGCCGGCAGCTTCGGAGTTCGCAGCGTCTGATCTGAATCTGCGCAAGGTGTCATGTCGCCGTGCCCCCGAGCAACAGTGCTCAAACGTGGCGACGGCGTCGCAGTTCGCAGCCCCCCCTGGGATGGCGAGGTCGACTCAGGACCCGCGTCAGGCGTCATTCCGTTAGACCTCCCAGCAGCTTTCGGGAGTGGCGACAGTTTCGCAGTTCGCAGCCCTCCCCAAAAACAGCAACCTTTAATCCGAACAGTCTTGGGGCGTCTGTCGGCTGGACCCCCCATGGCCCACGAAAGTGGTGACAGGCTAACAGTTCGCAGCCCCCCTCTGATTGCGAGGTCTACCCTATTTTTCCGTAAAGGGGTCATTCGGCCAGGCCCCCCAACAACAGTTTTCGAAAGTGGCGACAGCGTCGTAGTTCGCAGCCCCCCAGGGATGGCGAGGTCGAATTTGAATCCGCATAAGGCATCATTCCGTTTGAACCCCCAGCATCATTCGGACTTCGCAGCCCTACCAGGGATGGCGAGGCCGAACCTGAACAATCATAACGTGAGGCTTACTATTAACAATCGTCAGGGTTCGCTCCGCTGACCCCCCCCTGGCAGCCCTCGAAAGTGGCGCCTCTTCTGCAGTTCGCAGCCCCCCAGGGACGGCGAGGTCGAATTTGATCTCGCGCGTAAGGCGTCATTCCACTGGGTTCCCCAGCAGGTCTTGAAATTGGCGACACGTTCGCAGCTCGCTGCCCACCAATGACGGCGAGGTATAGGATGGCGAGGTCGACTTTGAATTTGCGTAGCGCGTCGTTTCGATTGACCCCCATCAACCCGCGAATGTGGCGACGGCGTCTCGCATGTTCGAACGTGGCGAGATTTTTCGCAGTTCGCAACCCTCCAGGGATGGCGAAGTCACGTAGGACGGCGAGGTAGGATGCAGGCTTGGCAGGCAAGACAGGAGAGGCAGGCTGGCAGGCATAATCGGAGAGGACGAGGTGAGAGACAGGAGTGCAGAGTCGAAAACGGAGGCGACATCAGGTGGAGACCGCCGTGACGTATTCAAAACGAGAACCTAGAGCAGGAGTGTTTGGAATACAATGGTACCTTGGATGCAACGACTCCGTCATCCGCCCATCGTAAGGCATGGTCGATAGCTGGCGGCGATTGAAGAAACGGCTGCGGCTGCTCTCTCCTCTCTTCAGTTTGTTGAGGTCGCTGTTCGGAGGGGGGCGCAAGGACAATTCAACTTCATGGCCTTGCTAGCAGCAGTAGTTTGGTATAGCATGCATACCAAAGCCAGGGTGCCAGTGGCAACAGTGGTTGTCACCCACATGCTGGGGCTTCACCCCGGGCCACAGAATTCTCACAAGATTCTGGATACTACACACACATATATATATATATATATACACATGCATACATGTATATATATGTATATATACATATGCATATCTATATATAGATAAAATTGTGGGACGGGGATAGGGTGACACATGACGTAGTGGCGAACATTTCGCCTCAACCCGCATCGTAAGGCCGCGCAGCTTAGCAAGGCTACCCCTGCATTCTTCCCTCGGGGCCCCTCCTCGGCCGCTTCCGCTCGCCGCGCCCTGCCCTCGCTGCGCTCGAGGGGGGGGGGAACACGTCCCCGCCACGTCCAACCGCAGCCCTCTTGGGGCCCCACCGCGCAGAGCCCGAGGCGTGTGCACCGTCCGCCTGGGACGGGATGGTCCAGGAGGGGAAGAAACACACAGGCACAATTCATCCTCGATCCCCCAGAAAGCATGGGAAGATATGGGAAGTGGGGGGGGGTGACAACATCCCAGAACATATGGGAAAATAGTGGGGGTCTTTTTATTTGTGTGTATTTATTTGTGTGTCCAGGGCCCCTTCAATGGTCAAGTATGAGTGTGTGCATTTCGTCTGGGGCTACGCTGACATTTCTACCTAAACATTTCAATTCTCGCCGACCTCCATGGCCTCCGATGTAGGGGGAGGTTCAGCATCCGCTGTGAGGTTGTGTGCCCCCTAGACGGCCGAAGAGGATTCGCTGAATGCTCCCCAGATGGCCGCAATGGGCAATGAACAAGTGATTCGCCTTTTGGTTTTCACTGATTCCGAATTTCTCGACTTTTCCAGCTTCCGGCGCTCCACGACGTCTCAAGAGGCCCCGAGACGGCCCAAGAGGCCCCCAAGACGGCCCTAGAAAACCTCTAGACGGCCATAGACGCGCTTAAGACGCCAGAGGACAGCTCCGAGGGCCCCAAGAGGGTCCCAAATTTAAGTATCTCGACGCTTACTCGTGAAGGACGGCGTTGTCTGAAATTTGCATTTAACTGTTGGGTCTATTGGGCCGCTCTGGGAGCTTCCTTGGCGCTCCTTTGGGTCTTCCTAGGTTGCCCTCTGGAGTTTTGTCCAGAATCCAGAGTCCCCCGGAGGCCCAGGAAAAGCACAGATGACGACCACCATGACGATCATCGCGACTGCGGCGGCGGCTGCGGCTTGCGGCGCCCGCGAGGGCGGCGGCGGCGACGGCCTGGCAGCCCAGAGCCTCTTGGGGACTCTTCGGCCACCGTGGCAGTCAGGTCATGTGCGCAGTCTGGGAAAGACTTGGAGCCTTCCGACGCGTCGCGCGCCGATTTCGCACGGCTCCGCGACCGCCCACCGAACCCTAAGCTAGAAGCTATCCCCCAGAAGGCCAAGCACCTCCGCGCGCCAAGGGCGGCCCTTGCCTGGGGACCTCCTCCCTGGGTATCCTGAGGTTCGTGGAGTAACGCAAGGTTTTAACAACGACGGCTCAGTAGGTTAGAACCTAAGCGTTCGCGTAGCGCGCGTGGTTCTAGTACATCTGTACATTCACACCGATGCGCAACGTCAGAACAGCCGTCTTTACTTTTTGCGGTGCCAAGGTTCTTGGTTTGAAGCTTGATTGGCCGCGCAATGTGCTGCCACGGATGCGCGCTGCTGTCGAGGGGCAAGCGGCGTGCCGCCCAGCCCCAGAACCGCCGTTTCCGATTTGCTGGGAAGCGGGCGCTTTCCAGCATGTGTTATCTATTTCCGACCTTCTACGTCTTGCCATCTTGGCAAATGGCGATTTTCCAATCTCGCTTGCCCCAGGCTTTTCCTACATACTTGCATGCTTTGCTGGCTTATTTTGCGCACGATTGCGTACTAGATGCTGTGTATACCTTGCTTTGTTGTGATGGGTACATACATGTATATCTGCACATGTTGATACATACATACATATGCGCATGACCATACCGTGTGAAGGTTCGTGCTTTGGAATTTGATCGGCCGCGCAATGTGCTGCCAGGGACGCGCGCTGCTGTCGAGGGGCAATCGGCGTCCCGCCCAGCCACAGAGCCGTCGCCTTCGACCGCCAACGTGCAACAGGCAGGCAGCAGTTGTGGCAGGGCCGATTAGGGAGGGCGTTGTTTTGTTTTCTTCCTGGGCGTTTGGGCTTATGTATGTATGTATGTATGCATGCATGCATGCATGCATGCATGTATGCATGCATGCATGTATGCATGTATGTATGTATGTATGTATGTATGTATATATTTGTATATGTATGTATATGTATAGGTATGTATATGTATGTATATGTAGGTATGCGTATGTATATGTATGTATGTGTATGTATATGTTTTCATATGTATGTATATGTATGTATATGTATGCAGGTATGTATGTATGTATGCATGCATGCATGCATGCATGCATGCATGTAGGTAGGTAGGTAGGTAGGTCGGTAGGTCGGTATGTTGGTAGATAGGTAGGTAGGTAGGTAGGTAGGTAGGTAGGTAGGTACGTCTGTCTGTCTGTCTGTCTGCCTGCCTGTCTGCATGCATGCATGCATGCATGCATGCATGCATGTATGTATGTAAGTACGTATGTATGTATGTATGTATGTATGTATGTATGTATGTATGTATGTATGTATGTATGTATGTATGTAGGTATGTAGGTAGGTATGTATGTAGGTATGTATGTATGTATGTATGTATGTATGTATAACTACACACACACACATATATATATATATATATATATATATGGTGTGTACATGCATATGCCATGTGGTGTATGCATCTCTATACATGCCGCTGCCCACGCCCCCCAGGGCCCGACAGGAGGCGACGCCGACACGCCAGGATCTCAGCACTGGCCCTCCCTGCGCCCACCCCGGCAGGATCTCGGGGGGCTGCAGGCCGCCCGCCGGCGGCTCGGGCGGCCCCGCTCGGTCCCCCGCGCGCCCGCGCCCGGGGCCTCGGCGGGCCGCGCGGCCCAGGTCGTGGCGTACCTCCAGGCGCCGCCCAGCGCCGCCACGGGGGCCCGGGGCTGGCGTGCAGTCGGGCGTGTCCCTCGGCAGGGGGAGTACGCAAACATGGGCAAGCAAACGATTTGGTCGAGTTTTGTTGTTGTTGTTGTTGAACATTATTTATTCTAAAGAATAATTATTGTTGGGCCCCCTGGTGCGCGCCCCCCCTGCGCCGCCTAGGCCGCAGCTACATTTTCATCATTTTCGTGAGGAAGCCTCAGAAAAGAGGGTGTGTACAGGATCCGGTTGTTTTGTTGTAATCCGCTTTCCCTTGCAAAAAACAATAGAAAATGACATTTCTTGTTCTAATATAATCAAATTTCAAGAATCCCTTGCAAAAAATAAGGTAAAGTGGACATTCGCGCGCGCAAGACGAAATCCTTCCAAAAGCTTAGTGTTCGGAGCGATTTCAACATAAAAACATCAAAAAACCAATGGTTTTTCAACAAAAAAATGTCAAAATCTCATCCCGCGCGCTCTTGCGGATTCGTAGGAAACCCAACACTTTTTAAACATTTCTGTCAAACGGGCTTTTGCGAGCAACTTTTTCGAACTTCTGCAACAACGGTTGCGCACCTGCCAGGGCCATCATCCCTGTCAAATAATACCATGCGGGACACATTCGTTTTTTCTTCGCGCGCGCACGCCGTCGTCGTCGGCCGCGGGGCCCTGAATAGTAGCCACGGTCGTCCGCATGCCACGAAGTGAAGTGTCCGAACGTCATAGGGCGGGAAGCTGGGTGTGGGTGGTGGCGAAGAGTCGTTTGGAAATTTGGTAGAGCTTGAACCGGCCCCCCCACAAAGTGGGGGTATTGCCCGCCTCCTATGAAAACCCTGGCACTGGTGAGAACGGAGTGTCCCCACGTGCTAATAATTGTTGTTGTTGTTGTTGTTGTTGTTGTTGTTGTTGTTGTTGTTGTTGTTGTTGTTGTTGTTGTTGTTGTTGTTGTTGTTGTTGTTGTTTTTTGTGTGTATGTGTTTTTGTTTTTTGTTTGGTTTGTGTTAAATGAAGCAAAAAACAATAGCGGTCTCGAGAGTTTTTCATGGTTCACCCCAAATCCGCCTGTAGGGGGACACGCTCGACCTAAGGCCTGGGGCAGGCGCGCGGGCCGGAGCGGAATGAGGACTGACGAGCCCCTGACCCTAACAGCACTCGGGGGTGGACAGAACCCCCAACAGTGACACGTCGATTGGTGAATTGGCCGTTTTCGGTTCTCGAGAGGGCGCCGTGGCCGTTATTTCCCAGGCCTGCGCCCGCCAGGTTTGGGCCTCAAGTCGTTTTCACTAAACCACGTTTTGCTAAAGGGGGGTCTGTCCATCCCCGACCCTAATAGCACCATTCATCGAGGAAGAAACCACGACATAAGCATACACTTTTGGCGCTCCGCGCGGATTTCTTGGATCCGCTCTGGGCCCCCCCCCGGCGGCCCCTCTGGCGCCGCCCCTGGCGCACTCCGCGCGCCAGGGATGGGGATCCAGCGCGAATCCAAGAAATCCACGCGGAGCGCCAACGACATTATGTTTACTGCGTCTATGTTTCTTCTAACGAAGGCGTGGCCTCACTTAGGTCCCCGTTTTCGCATTTGGGTCAGTAGTTGTGGGCGGGTTTGTCTGAAGCATCTGCAGAGCAGATCCCCAATCCCTGGTGTTTTTGGCCCTCCTACCTTAGCTTCCCACCCAAAGGGTGAAGGATTTTGTTTGGATTATTCCCCAGAGGGTCGAGGGCCGAGAGTGGGCGCGCGCGCGGGGGTCGAGGGTCGAGGGTCCCCAGAGATCCCCTGAGTGCCTGCATCTCATTGTGCTCCGAGCCGGGCGCTTCCGCGCCGTTCCGGGCCCCGGGACCCTCGCAGGTCGACGCGGCCCAAGACGTGGGGCGGAAAGAGGGCGGGGCCGGGTGTTCCCAGAAGTGCCCCTGGCCCACGGTGCCCCAGGGGGGCCTCCACGGCCTCCAACGCACCCCTCACGAGGAGGAGGAGGAGGAGGAGGAGGAGGAGGAGGAGGAGGAGGAGGAGGAGGAGGAGGAGGAGGAGGAGGAGGAGGAGGAGGAGGAGGAGGAGGAGGAGGAGTCCGGCCAGGGGCACTTTTCGCAACCCCCGATGGGGGCGGGGGATGGCGAGGGCGGGGGCTGGCGAGGGCGGGGGGTTGGCCAGGCAGCCCACGCACAGCGGGTTGCCCCAGGTTTCTCCTGCGGCCGCGGCGGGGGGCCAGCGCGTCGATCGTCGAGGCAGGCGCCCGGTGGCGGGGTCGAGGCCACCTTGTCCTCGTCCTCGTTCTCCTCCTCCCCCTCCTCCTCCCGCCCCTCCTCCTCCTCCTCCTCCTCCTCCTCCTCGTCCTGGTTCTCGTCCTCGTTCTCGTCCTCCATCCGGGGCGGGAATTTACACATGACCGCCGCCTGGAGGATCAAGTTCGGGGAGCTCGGCAGGTTTGTGGGCATGGGCACATTCGGGCCCCCGGGGGCCAACATGTGTCCAGATCCACCGCCCGCTGGGGTACCAGGACGCCGGTTCCCGGGCGGTGGATACGGATCAATCCCCGCCTTGCATTTCCAGACCGCCCCCCCAAGATGGGGCCCGTGAGTCGAAGAAGAAGTAGAAGAAACGCCAGAAACATATTTTTTTGGCGCTCCGCGCGGAGTTCTTGGATCCGCGCTGGGCTCCCCTGGCGGCGCCTCCGGCGCCGCCCCTGGCGCGCTCCGCGCGCCACGGAGGAGGGACCCAGCGCAGATGCAAGATTTCCGCGGAGCGCCAAAAGTTATTATGTTTCTTCTTCTTCGGCGATGGCGTTTGTTTGTTATTATGTTTCTTCTTCTTCTTCTAGTGAATCTGGCCGTCTTTTGGTTCGCGACTTTTTTTCCGTTTGCTGCGTCGGCTCTCGGCGTCTTGATGTCCAGGGCCGAGGGTCGAGGGATCGTGCTGATCTTCGTCTTCGTCTTCATCTTCATCTTCATTCGAATCTGCATCTTCACCTTCATAATTCATTATTATCTTCGTTCGCATCCCATATCTGTATATACATGCATCTTCATATACATATATATATATATAGATATCCATCATCCACGTAACGAACCACACGATACCCCATGGAACAAGTCGAAGTCCATACCACGCCGTCAAGAGCTCCCACGCAACACGCGCTAGAACTTCCACCTTCCACGCCCGACACGTGGAGGATGGGGAGGACGGATGGCGCAGGTCCTCCCTCGAGGGTCGAGGGATCGTCCTCCTCCTCCTCCTCCTCCTCCTCCTCCTCCTCCTCCTCGAGGCTCGAGGCTCGAAGGTCGAGGGTCCCAGAGATCCGAGGTTTTCGCTGCGCGGTCCCCCCCCTTAGGCCTCGGTCGGCGCTCCCCCGGGGACTGGCCGCTCCTCCCGACCCGGAGAGCATCCCAGGATCTGGTCTGTTCGATCGGGCGTGCTTTCCTGGACTGCGGCCTCTGGGGCCCGTTATCGGGCTCGGGCCATCAAGATGGGATCCGGGACAAAATGCCCCCCAGGGAGGGGGTCGGGACCTCTGTGGTCAAGGGAGGAAAGACCACCCGGACCGGACAATCGGCGCTTCCTAAACGGCCCTGGGCGTTTACTAAACAGCCCTGCCCTGTTCGATCCTCTCCGTGGGGGCGTTTCGTAAACAGCTTCGCGTGTCGGGGTGGTTATTCTCTTGGGGTGGATTTTTGGCCCTCTAACAAAGGGGCACGAGAAGTACCCTTCGTTCCCCCCTCCCCGTTTGTATCCCTGAGGTCCGACGTGCCGCAGCGAACACACTGCAGCATCGTGTGCCTTGGACCCCAGCTCGGATGGATTTTTTGCCCTCTCTTTGGTGCCGCGGCTTGAAGAGAACTCGGATCGGCGGAGGTCTGGGGAGCCGTTCTTTGGACGGCCCCGGGGGCCGGCCGAGGGCCTCCAGAGGGGAGGTACCCCCTCGGGCGTGCTCGAGTCGTGACCTCGCAGAGGGGGAGGAGGAGGAGGAGGAGGAGGAGGAGGAGGAGGAGGAGGAGGAGGAGGAGGAGGAGGAGGAGGAGGAGGAGGAGGAGGAGGAGGAGGTGAGGTGGAGGAGGAGGAGGAGGAGGAGGAGGCGGAGGAGGAGGAGGGAGGAGGGAGGGAGGAGGAGGAGGAGGAGGAGGAGGAGGAGGAGGCGGAGGAGGAGGCGGAGGGAGGAGGGAGGAGGAGGAGGTGGAGGAGGAGGAGGAGGAGGAGGCGGAGGCGGAGGAAGGAGGAGGAGGAGGAGGGGGAGGAGGGAGGAGGAGGAGGAGGAGGAGGAGGAGGAGGAGGAGGAGGAGGAGGAGGAGGAGGAGGAGGAGAGGGAGGAGGAGGAGGCGGAGGAGGAGGCGGAAGCGGATGGGGGGTGAGTTCGGACCGTTGGCGCATCGAACCGCAGAAAAACAAAGCAGAACGAGGTCTCTCCGGCCGCCGCCGGAACCCGAGAGGCGTCGACAATCGGGGCGCGCCCGGGGGGGCATCGTTGTTCGGAAATTCGATGCACCAGCGGATCGATCCCCCCCCCCTCCGCAGGGTCCCCCCCCCCTGGTGGGCCCCGATTGAGGCCTGGATGCCATCGGGGCGTCGACGGGGGGGGGGGGCTGGCCAGCCAGCCTTGAGTCGGGCATGTCCCTCTACAGCAGGAAAAATCTACAAATGGTGAAAAATTACTCCGACGGAAGGACCCCACATGAGAATCCTCTGGGCGAATCTGGAAAAAGCCCTCACCGTCGTCCTCGTGGTTGGTGAGGCGTCCTGGCTGTCTCTTCTGCGTATATTTCTTCTCGCCCTGGCGCGGGCCCTCCCCCCGCTCCCTACGTTGCCCCCGACCTCGTCATCATCATCATCGGGTGCGTCCAAGTGGATACGTGCCGAACACGACCCAGAGGAAACGCACAGGGTGCGTCCCAATGGATACGTGCGGGGGCACGACCTAGAGGAAGCGCACAGGGGTGCGTCCCAGTGGATACGTGCCGGGAATAGCGCTCTGGGAACACGACGAACACAAAGTGGCCTACAGTTGGCTCCGGACATTCAGAATGTGGCCCGGGAGTGATGTTTTAGGAACACGAAGAACACGAAGTGGCCTACAGTTGGCTCTGGGCATTCAAAATGTGGCCCGGGAATTGTGTTCTGGGAGCACGAAGAACACGAAGTGGCCTACGGTTGGCTCCGGGCATTCAACATGTGGCTTGGGAATGGCGTTCTGGCAGCGCGAGAGCCCCAAAGTGGCGACAGTTACAGAAATTCTAGACGCTTCGCGTATCCCCACCAGCCCGTCCAGAAACGACGCCCAGGCGAGTAGAGGGTCGTCCTGAGGGGCTTTTCGGCGTCTTGGGTGCCTCGGGGGGGCCTCTTTGGGCCGTTTGGGATCCTCTTGGGGGCCTCCTGGGGGCCTCTTGGGGCCATCTTGGGGCCATCTTGGGGCCTCTTGGTGCCTCCTGGGCGCTTCTTGGGGCCATCTTGGAGGAAATCGATCAAAGAAGAGGGGAGCTTCAATTAGCGCTGCCCCCTCAGAAGGTCAAAATGGGGCCAAAACCTTAGTAAAATCAATGGTTTTGGCTTCAAAGAAGAGGGGAGCTTTAATTCGCCCTGCCCCCTCAGAAGGCCAACATGGGGCCAAAACCATAGTAAAATCAATGATTTTGGCTTCCTCGCCGAGGCCGTTTTGGACGCTCTGACCTCCCCGACCCTCCTGTCCAGGTCCGTGGGGAGGGGGTAGGGGGAGGGGTAAACCCCTCCCCGAAGGGGAAGAGGGAGGGGTGGAAGAGGAAACGCTCTAAACCACCGACGCCCAGAGGGCTGGTGGGATTGGATGAACCGCTCGGATTAGTAACATGATCCGCGGGTTCCATAGGGAAGGGGCTCCCGCTTGAGACTTCCTCGGATTAGTAACATGATCCGCCTGGGAATTGCGTTCCGGCAGCGCGAGAGCCCAAACATGGCGACAGTTACAGGAATTGGATGACCCGCTCGGATTAGTAACATGATCCGCGGACCCCAAGGGGAGGGGGTTCCCGCTTGGGACTTCCTCGGGTTAGTAACATGATCCGCGGGCCCCATAGGCAGGGGGCTCCCGCTTGAGATTTCCTCGCAATTCACTCACAGACGAGGCCTAAGGCGAGTGAGTGAGTGAGTGAGTGACTGACTGACTGACTGGTGATGATGATGATCATCACACTTTCTCACGCGCACACTCATCATCATCATCATCATATGTGAGTTCATGAGCGTGTGAGTGAGTGAGTGCTGGTGAGTCAGTGAGTGAGTGAGTGAGTGAGTGAGTGAGTGAGTGAGTGAGTGAGTGGGTGGGTCAGTGAGTGAGTGAGTGAGTGATTGAGTGAGCTAGTGAGTGAGTGACTGAGCGCACGAAGACAGAAGAGGAGAGGGGGTGAGGTGAGGAGGTTCCTGCGCGGGGTGTCCAGAGAAAACAAGAACCCCACTTTGGATGTGGGGAAATAGTCAAGGGAGGATCTTTTGATTCTTTTTGACTGCTTTTGGATATTATTGCTGGACTATTTTTCGTTCTTCGTCCCAAATCCGCCTGTATAGACCTAAAGCCAGCCCCCCTTCGGCTCCCCTCAGGGTTAGGACGGCCTCCAGGAGCGCCAGCATGGCCCCCTCGGACACGTTCATGTCAGACACCGGATCGCTCGCCGCCGCACCCTCCGAGGGAGCGCAGAACATCTTGAGGTACCAGGTCACCCGCGGGTGCGCGAGGAGATAGCCGCCTTTCGCGCGTCGCAGTCCGGGCCAGAGCGGCTGTCCTTCCTCCAGCGGGGGCGGCGCGAGGGCGCGAAGGTAATTACTCTCGGACCCGCATCGCTGGGCGCGATCAGCGAAGCTAGGTTACCTAGGAGAGGCACTGGACCGTGTGCGGGGTTTCCATGCAGTGTGCCAGTGGCGTGCGGAGCCCGCCGCCCTTGAGCCCCAATGGCTACGTTGCTCCTCGTTCTTCTCCTCGCCACCCTCCTCCACCCTGCCTCACCATGCAGTACTGGTACCGTGCTGACCCCATGTGATGGACCCCCCCCCAGTTCCCCCGCTCCTTGCTGCCGCCGCTGCGCGTAGCTCCGACCAGGCTGCTGCACCCCAGCCAGACGAGCCACCCATCCTCTCCCTCTCTGAGCCCCCCCCCGCCCCCAAAGTCCAGATGGCTGCGTCTGAGGGGGCCCTTGTCCTGCTCGGAGCTCCAGGACGTGCGCTTTCTGGTGCCGGGTCGTCTGCCATTCTGCATCGCAGCCCGAATGGGCAGTAGGGAAGGGGACCTGACGCACTCTGGGCCTCCTCCCCTCCCTCTCACTCCTGCGCTCCTCCGGCGAGCCGCTGTCCCCCCGAAGGCGGACACGCAGCGCGGCACCGCGGCGTTCCTGCCAGCGTGGGGCTCCCGCGGGGGAGGGCGGAGGGCGAAAGGGGAAGGGCGCGACGGCAGGGAGGGGATGGAGGAAGAGCGGGGGAGCGTCGAACCGCCCTCGGTGTCAGTCTCAGCAGACGGTGCGGGCAGTATTCATATCCACATCCAGTGCGTCTTGGAGTTTGGGGTTCTCTTCCCCAGAACACAAAAGCGCACTGGATACATATATATATATATATAGATATAAGCATCTGGCCCCTAAGAGGCTTGATTATTGTCCATATCCAGTGCGCCTCGGCCTTGCGGCACCCCTCCCCAAAAAGTCCAAGACGCTCTGGATATGGATATAAGTATTGCCCGCAGACGAATCACTTCATGCCTGCCGAAGGCTATGTGGTGCGAGCTCCGTGGTGCAATCAAGTCGCCAGTCAGCGCACGGGGCGCCCAGGAGGCGCCCACGGCTGGCGACCGCGCAACATTTGGCAACGCCAGCCAGCGCCGGCGTCGCCTGCGAGGCGCCCGCGGGCGGCGAGCGGTCGAAGACCCGGAAACGGCAGCCGATAATTCGTGACGACCATACTCTCGGCCTCTTACCCCTCCTCCTCCTCCTCCTCCTCCTCCTCCTCCTCCTCCTCCTCCTCCTCCTCCTCCTCCTCCTCCTCCTCCTCCTCCTCTCTCCTCCTCCTCCTCCCCTCCTCCTTCCCCTCCTCCCCCTCCTCCTCCTCCTCCTCCTCCTCCTCCCCTCCCTCCTCCTCCTTCCTCCTACCTCCTCCTCCTCCTCCTCCTCCTCCTCCCCCTCCCCCTCCTCCTCGGAGTAGATGGGGTCGGGAGATCGCGCCGCATCGCCGATGTATCGGCGATGCGGCTCGATGTTGAGCCCAGGTTTCTCCACGCCGATGGCGCCGATGCCTCGCCGACGTCGCCGATGCATCGCCGATGCATCGATGGTGCATCGTCGATGCGGCGCGATCCTCCGACTCCATCTACTTGGACCCCATCTGGGAGGCCTCTACACAAGTAAGCAACCTGAAGTGCAAGCAGTATTTGGACATTGTGTGTGTGTGTGTGTGTGTGCGTGTGAAAGTTGCTACAGGAGATTGCCAGAAGGATCTTTGCAGACGTCTGGGAGGGATGGCTCGTGGTTTCCATCGCATCCGAAGGAGGGATGTGCATCGGGCGATGCGCCCGCTCTCTCTTTGCGGTGTGGGTTTGTCGTTTTCGAGCCTCCTGGAGGCTTCTCGTCGCCACGGCTGAATCGCCCTCGAAAACGTGCCAGGCTGGACCAGGGAAGGGCTCCCAGGACCGTGTTGAACGGGCTCGGGCCAGGCGGGAGAGCCTTGACCCTCCTCCGGCAGGCGGGAGCAGGATTGGGGATCGTTGTGGAGCGTGAGAGGAGGGGCAAGGCAGGCCCAGGAGGAGGAGGGAGCGGGTTGTCCAGCATCCAGGATCAGGGACACAGGTTTCGGGATGTTCGTTGGCCATTTGCGTGCCCCAGGAGGCCCTTGTGACCAGCGGACATCACAAGAGGCCACGGGGGGACCGGCAGCGGGGATGGCGAGAGGGGGAGAGGGGGACGGCGCGGCCGACCGCAAACGCCTCCCCGCCACCTCCGTTCGTGCTGCTTGCTGCTGCTGATCTTCTTCCTCCTTCTCCTCCTCCTCCTCCTCCTCCTCCTCCTCGTCATCTTCTTTTCTCCTTCTCAGCATCAACATCATAGCCATCCTCTCCCCCTAGTCGTCTGATATGAGGAACCGTCCTCCCTCCTCCGTAGCCTCCCCCCCACCTCCTTCCTCCTCCTCGTGGAGCTGGCGCGACGCTGCATGGCGGAGGGGGGGGGGGCGGCCGGCTCCCATGCGGAGGGGTTCGTGCTGCTGGCTGCTGCTGATCCTCCTCCTCTTTCCCATCCTCTCGCCCTCCTCCCCCTCCTCTCGCCCTTCTCCTCCTCCTCCTCCTCCTCTTCCTCCTCCTCCTCCCCTCCCCCTCCTCCTCTTCCTCCTCCTCCTCCTCATCCCATCCTTTCGCCCTCCTCCTCCCCCTCCTCCTTTTCCTTCTTTTCCCTCCTCCTCCTCCTCCTCCTGGAGGTGGCGAGGATGTCTGGCGCAGCGGGGGGATGGGGGGGGGCTTCCAGCCGGGGGGCAGGGGCGCGGCGCTGCCCCAGACCGGCCGACCTCGATCTGCTTCCTCGGCTTGCCGCTGCTCTCCGCCCCTCCCTCGCCGTCCCAGTTTCCCCCCGCCTGCCTCCTGCTTCCTGCCCCTTCCTCTCGCCCCCCGCCCACCATCGTCCTCCCGCAGGAGGAGGAGGAGTGGGAAGCAGAGCGAGGGAGGGACGGAGTGAGCAGGAGGACTGAGGAGCACGGGGACGGCGAAGACGACCAGGAGGAGGACGACAACGATGATGTCGATGGTGATGCTAATGATGATGAGGAGGAGGGGGAGGAGGAGCAGGACGACGACGGGGACGAAGACGACAGGAATGTCGAGGAGGAGGAGGAGGAGGAGGAGGCCGAGAAAGGAGGACGAGGGCACGAGGGGGGCCATGAAGGCGAGGTCGGGGAGGCGGAGGCGACTGACGAGGAGGGGGGGAGCCGCCAGGCTCGGACCCCCGCGACTCCGCCGAGCTCCGCTCTACCTTCGCCTTCACGGCGCCGAGCGCGGACAGCGGGCAGTTCAGTGACGAGTATGACGCTTTCGTCAGGCCGAGGGGTCAGTGTCCTCGGCGTCGTCGTCGTCGTCGTCGTCGTCGGGGTTGCCGTCGGGTCGTCGTCGGGACCGTCGTCGGCAGGGTCGTCGTTTTCGTCGCCGTCGTCGTCTCCAGGGTCGTCGTTTTCGTCGCCATCGTCGTCGTCGTCGTCGTCGTCGTCGTCGCTGTGGTCGTCGTCGGGGGGATGGTGGAGAGGAGCTGGGTGGAGACGTCGGATGAGAATACATCCTGGCCTCAGTATCTGGTTTTTGGCTCTCGTTGAGCAGAGTGGTCTGCCTTGGACGTGCAGTTTCTACCCATTCTTCGCCGTGCTGCAGTGCGGGGGTTGGGGTGCCTGCATTTGGATCACACCCCTTAGTCAGATATGAGGCAAGAGGCGGGCTCAGTTGGAAGGGGAAGTTGAGGAGGCGTAGAATGAGGAGAAGGAGGAGGAGGAGAAGGAGGAAGGGGAGGGAGTTGGTAGGGGGTAGGGGAAACGGCGAAGGAAAATGAGGTTGAGGAGGATCCGAGGACGAGTATGGGGAGGAGTGGAAGGATGTTGATGATATGACGATGATTGTGCCGATGATGATGCTGCTGGTGATGATGCTGGTGATGATGGTGAGCATGGTGATGCTGATGATGATAACGCTGACGCTGATTTTGATTATGAACGTGATGATGTCGATGACGATGACGATGTCGATGCTGATGCTGCTGCTGATGATGATGAGGATCATGAGTATGAACGTGACGATGTCGATGACGATGACGGTGACGATGACGATGACGATGATACTGCTGATGGTGATGCTGCTGCTGATGCTGTTGATGATGATGACGATTATCGGAGAATGATGCTGATGATGATGCTGATGATGATCATACTTATGATGATGACGGCGATGTTGACGATAACGATGGTGATGCTGATGCTGATGGCGATGCTGCGGCTGATGATGATGATCATGATGCTGATTATGATGCTGATGATGGTGATGATGATACTGATGATGAAGATGCTGACGCTCTTGATGATGACAATGATGATGCTGATGATGATTATGATGATGATGGTGAGTATGATACAGATAATGCTGACGCTGGTGATGAAGCTGGAGATGATGGTGATCATGACGGTGATGGCGATGATGCTGCCTATGACGCTGCTGTTGATGCTGGCTGCTGATCATGATGATGATGATGAGGATGGTGCTGCTGATGCTGATGCTGTTGATGATGATGATGCTGATGCGAATGGTGAGGCTGATGATGCTGATTATGATGATGATTCTGATGCTGATGATGCTGGTGATGATGCGATTGAGGATGAGGATGAGGACGATACTGAAGCTGCTGGTGATATTGATGATGCTGAAGCTGATGATGACGACGACGACGACGATGATGCTGATGATGATGATGATGATGATGATGATGATGGTGGCTGTGGTGGTGGTGATGATGCTGATGATGCTGATGATGCTGAGGTTGCGGATGATTCCGATACTGCTGATGATGATATTGATGATGATGTTGATACGGATCATGAGGTTGGTGATCTTGCTGGTGATGATGCTGATCATGACGATGATGATGGTGGTGATGCTTCTTACGACTTTGAGTATGGTGATGATGATGATGCTGCTGATGTTGATGCTGATGCTGGTGATGGGGCTGATTATGATGTCGCTGATGATTATGATGATGATGGTAATGAGGATGTTGCTGATGATGAATATGATGCTGCTGCTGATGCTGCTGACGATGCTGGTGACGATGATGATGATGCCCATGCTGATGATGATGATGACGATGATGATGGTGGTGGTGGTCGTTGTGGTGATGCTGACGATGCTGATGAAGATGCCATTGCCGATGATGATGCTGATGCTGCTGATGTTGACAATAATGGTGATGATAGTGAAGACGATGCTGATGATGCTGATGATGATGCTGAAGATGATGGTGGTGGTGGTGGTTGTGGTGATGCTGATGACGCTGATGATGCTGCTGATGACGATGATGATGGTGGTGGCGGTGGTGGTGATGATGATCTTGGTTGTGGTGGTGGTGGTGGTGGTGGTGCTTTGAGCAGGAGGTGGAGGAGGAGGATAGGAGGAGGAGGAGGAGTAGGACGGTGATGAAGCTGCTGCTGATGATGATGATGACGATGATGATGATGCTGCTGCTGATGATGATGATGATGCTGATGCTGATGCTGATGATGATGATGCTGTTGATGATGATGCTGGTGATGATGATGATGCTGATGATGATGCTGATGATGATGATGACTATGCTGATGATGATGATGACGACGATGATGGCGATGATGATGATGATGATGATGATGATGATGATGATGATGACGATGATGATGATGATGCTGCTGCTGATGATGATGATGATGATGATGATGATGATGATGACGATGCTGCTGCTGATGATGATGATGATGATGATGCTGATGATGATGATGATGATGATGATGATGATGATGATGATGATGATGATGATGATGATGATGATGATGGATGATGATGATGATGATGATGATGATGATGATGATGATGATGATGATGCTTCTGCTGATGATGCTGCTGCTGATGATGATGGTGGTGGTGATGGTAATGGTGATGCTGATGAGCGGGTAGGAGGTGGCTGATGTTGACGACGCCCAGGGCAACAACGAAGACGTCGACGAGGACGATAGGGCGAGCAGGAGTAGGAAGACGACAAAGGGTAGGAGGAGGAGGACGATGTGGAGGAGGAGGAGGAGGAGGAGGAGGTGGAGGAGGAGGAGGAGGAGGAGGACGGCGGCGACTGGGGCGAGGAGGAGGAGGAGGAGGAGGAGGAGGAGGAGGGGGAGGGGAGGAGCGGGATGCGGCTCTTTGAGGTGTCTTGGGACTGTTTTGTTTCTGCCCTTCCTGAGGGCCTTTTGGCAGCCCTGGAGGGCCTTTTGAGTCCTTCTTGCGGGGTGTCGATCAAAAGAGGTGGGTCCTCGGTTTTCGCCCCCCCCCCCCCCCCCCTTCGTCAGGATCGCTCATAAGCGCCTCTTGTTGGGGCTGTCTTGGGCCATTTGGGCGCCGTATCGAGGCCTCAGACGCCCATCGGAAACGAAAAGGCGATCTTCAATCATCATATTCCCCACGGGGTTTGACGGAGTTTGGGCTCTGGGGTGGGTCAGTGGGGGAGCTCCAAGAGCATTTTATACCAGCTTGTGGCTATCTTGAGCCCTCTTGGAGGCCATTTTTGAGCATCGCATGCCTTTTGGAGCCATCTAGGGCCATCTTGGGCGCTGCAACCTTTCCGTCCGGAACCCAGAGAACCTCAGGGCGGGGAGAGGGAGGATCCCTCCCCGAAGGGGACGAAGGGATGCGAAAGAGGGAGGGAAATATCGTTTGACCGTCTGCCCAGATGGCCAGCAGGGTTATCTGAAGAAGATAACAAACGTCATGAAATGCATGCGACACATGGCGTCAACAGCCTCCGGAGGCCCCGAGGAGCGGAGATAGTTCAAGGCTAGGAAGTTCACGCAATGTCAGAAATCAGGGCCGGCGCCGTCACAGCACGAATTGCATGTAGGGGGTTACGCATGTTATCATGTCCCCCTCGATGTCTCGTTGTCTTGTATGTGCTCGTTCGGAATCATCAAGTAAGCTCTTTTACTTGAGGCCACCTGCTCATATCCATCTAGCACGCAGGTTGCAATGCAATCGATCTTGATTCAACTCATCCCCCCTCCCACTCTTTCTCTCTCTCTCTCTCTCTCTCTGCTCCCTACTTCTTCTTCCCACTCTCATCACTACTTCTCCCTCCCTCCCTCCATCCCTCCCTCCTCCCTCCCCCTTGTCGGGTGGACCAGGATGGAACCGGTATCCCCCTGGGGAGTGCCTCCTGTGACCTCCTAGGGCCTCCTGGGGGCCTTCTGAGGAGTTGGGGGAGGAGGAGACAGGAGCGGGGTTGAGGTTCGAAACTGGTATCCTCGTCTTGTCGACCCTTCCCCTTCCTCCCTCCCTCCGCCCCGTCCTGTCCGCGGAAGCGCGCGGGCTAGGGACGTGCTCTACGACAAGCTCTTGGACGGCGTGGAGCGGTCGAGGAAGGTGGCCGAGCCCGACACCTGGGAGGAGGACACGACCCCGCGCCGTCGCCGCCTCGCTCTCCCTTGGCCTTCCAGCCCCCCATCTGGGACTCGCGGTCCAGGGTCGAGTGTTCTGTATGTGCTGGTTTGTGCGTTTCCCCTGCATGCTTTTCTGGCCTCCACGCATGTCTGGGATGGGGATGGGGATGGGGAAGAGGCGGAGGCGGAGGAGGAGGAGGAGGAGGAGGAGGAGGAGGAGGAGGAGGAGGAGGAGGAGGAAGCAGCGTGATGCAAGTGAGAGTGGGGCAAGGACGAGGCACTGACAGAGCAAGCGTGCCCGAAACGGGACCGCCTTCGCGCAGACGCCACCGACGGCCAGGCGGCCGCCGAGGAATTCTTATTGGACAAGGGAGGAGGAGGAGGAGGAGGAGGAGGAGGAGGAGGAGGAGGAGGAGGAGGAGGAGGAGGAGGAGGAGGAGGAGGAGGAGGAGGAGGAGGAAGAGGAAGAGGAAGAGGAATAATAAGAAGAAGAAGAAGAATAAGAAGAAGAAGAAGAATAATAAGAATAATCAGAAGAATACTAATAAGAAGAAGACGCAGAAGCAGAAGCAGAAGCAGAATAAGAAGAATAATAAGAAGAAGAATAATAAGAAGAATAATAAGAAGAAGACGAAGAAGAAGACGAAGACGAAGAAGAATAAGAAGAATAAGCATAATAAGAAGAATAATAAGAATAAGAATAATACTAATAATAATAAGAAGAATAATAAGAAGAAGAATAAGAAGAATAATAATACTACTACGAAGAAGAATAATAATAATAATAATAAGAAGAAGAAGAATAAGACGAAGCAGAAGCATAAGAAGAATACTAATAATAATACGAAGAAGAATAATAAGAAGAATAATAAGAAGAATAATAATCAGAAGAAGAATAAGAAGAAGAAGACGAATAAGAATAATAATAATAATAATAATAATAAGAATAAGAAGAATAATAATAATAAGAATAATAATTATAATAATAATAATAAGAAGAAGAAGAATAATAATAATAAGAAGAAGAATAATAATAAGAAGAAGAAAAAGAAGAAGAAGAAGAGAGGAGGAGGAGGAGGAGGAGGAGGAGGAGGAGAAGGGGAGAGAAGGCGGAGGAAGGAGGAGGAGGAGGAGGAGGAGGAGGAGGAGGAGGAGGAGGAGGGCACCGAGAAAAGTCAGCGCCCGGCACCCGCCTGCCCTGATTCCCGCTGCTCCGCGTGGCCTAGAGAGCGCGGCTGGGCATCGGCTGTGACATACGTACAGACGTAAGAAGCGCGGATCGGATTTCTGGCGAGATGTTTGCGACCGAACAGAACATGTCAGGGGCGGCAGAGAGAAGGGTGATGACTAGGGGGGGGGATACCATGGCAGGGGCCATGATTCCTCCCCAGATTCCATGGCGCGTCTTCTCCCTTCCACTCATCCCGGGTCCCCCCCGGGGCCGCGCACATGCCGCCGGCCATGATCCGCGCCCTCCCCCCTCTCGGACGCCCCCCTCTTCAATGCCCCCGATACATATGTGTGTGTGTGTAAGTACTTCTAGTATGCCGCGGGATGGGGTCTGGGCCCCTCTGCCTGTCAGCCTCGAGCCCCCCTGGCGTGACCCGGGATTTTCTGGGGCTCTTTGTTCTTCTCCTCCTCCTCCTCCTCCTCCTCCTCCTCCTCCTCCTCCTCCCCTCCTCCTGATCCTTCTCCTGGCGGGGCTTCGACCCGGCCCCCCCTCCCCTCCCCCCCTCCCCCCCCCCTCCTCCGCGCGCGCCGGCGGGGGGCCAAGAAGGCCAAGACGGGCCAAGAAGGCTCCAGGAGGCTCCGCAGACGGCCCAAGGAGGGCTCCGCCCCTCGGCCGCGGAGCTGCCCAGGGCGGCCCCCCACGTCCTCGAGGCGGCTCCGATGGGCCTCCAGGGCGCCTCCAAGGCGCTCTTGGGAGGGCCATCATCCCCTACCCTTCTCTTCCTCCTCGTCGTGCAGCCTCGTCACCCCCTCCCTCATCTACGCGTCCTCCAATGTTATCCTATTTGTGCTTCTTCTCCATCTCCTTGTCCGCCTCCTCCTCCTCGTCCTCCTCCTGTTTCCTTCTCTTTTGTCCTGATTCTTTAGTTTCTGATGTCTTTGCTCTTCATCCGCTTTCCTCTTCTCCCTCCCTTCCTCTTTGTACCTCTTCTCTTTTCCTAAACGGCCTCTGCCGTTGCGAGGAGTCTAGCGTGACAATATTCTTCTCCGGCGATGTGGTGGATGACTACGACGTCAAGGTTGTGTAAGGGCAAGAGGAGGGGGAGGCGAAAGATGTTGAGGAGGAGATATGAGGAGGATTAGCAGATGAGGGTGGGTTGCGGAGAAATTGGGTGGGAGATCAACGAGGAGGTTAAGTTGGATAATCGTGTGGTGAGTGGGTGGATGATTTTATGAGTGATGGGGCGGATGTGGAGCATACTCGGAGGAGGTATGGGTTTCAGCATTGGATCGGGATATCTAGCAGCAGGAGGAATAGGAGGGGGTAGGATGGGAAGTTGGATAACATATTGTTGGTGGAAGGAGGAGGGGGTAGGCAGATGAGGGAGGGAGGCAGGTGATGTGCGGTGGGAGGGCGGAGAGGGAGGGGGATGGTGACGATGGAGGGAGAGGGGTGGAGGGAGGAATGTAGACGGTAGATAGGGGAAGCAGGGATGGGTACACTGAGAGATGGAGGGTAAGGATCGAGGAGGGGAGGGAGGGATGAGGAGATAGGATGAAGAATGAGAAAGAGTTGACAGTAGAAGGTCGACTAGGTGCATAATGATGAGGTAGGATTGGGAGTCGTAGGAGCATAATGACGAGCATCATGGTGCCGCTGGTGATGGTGATGATTACGATGATCATGATGAGGATGCTGAGGATGATGAGGATGAGCCTTTGAGGATTAGGAGATAAGAGTTAAGGGCCGATAGTGAAGTAGAAGGTCGGTCGCATAGCAGAGGTGGCAGGGGAAGGATTGGACGGGAGGGATGGAGGGGGAGAGAAGGATGGAAATGCGCAGGAGGAGGAGGAGGAGGATTTGGAGGCATGGTGACGGCAGAGAGGCCGAGGAGGCTCATGGTAAAGAGACGGAGGAAGAGAAGGAGGAGACGGAGGAGGAGGAGGAGAAGGAAAAGGAGGAAGATGCGGTTGGTGGTGATGATGCTGCTGCTAGTGGTGATGATGATTATGCTGCAGATGGCGAGGACGAGGAAGAGGATGAAGGACGAATGAGTAGAGATGAACGATTCGGATGATGCTGATGATGATGACGACGATGATGATGACGATGATGGCGATATTGATGATGCTGATGATGATGGTGATGATGATGCTGCTGATGACGATGATCATGATGCTGATGACACTGATGATGATGCTGCTGTGGATGATGATGTGATGATGATGATCATGATGTCGATGATGATGGTGATAAACATGATGATGATGATGATGATGATGATGATGATGATGATGATGATGATGATGATGATGATGATGATGATGATGATGATGATGATGATGATGATGATGATGATTATGCTGATGTTGATGATAACGATGAGGATGCTGCTGATGATGATGACGATTGTGATGCTGTTGATCATGATGATGACGGTGATGACGACGAGGATGATACTGGTGATGCTGCCGATGATGATGCTGATGGTGTAGCGGGTGATGATGCTGCTGATGATGATGATGATGCTGCTGTTGATGATGATGATGATGATGATGATGATGATGATGCTGATGCTGATGCTGATGCTGATGCTGATGATGATGATGATGATGATGATGATGATGATGATGATGATTATGATGATAATGGTTGTGATGGTGGTGATGGTGATGGTGATGGTGGTGATGCTTATGAGAAGATGGATGAGGCGGGCTGAAGACTAGGATACCGGTGACGATACGATGCCGAGGTCGTTTTCTACAGGGACATGAAGTTGGCCGCCGGATGCCTGGTATTCACCTTCCTCTTCGCCTGGTTCCACCTGAGGCGGGGCAGGGGGCTTCTCCCTCCCTCCTTCATGTCTCCTCCTGCTCCGCCTCACTCCTCCTTATCCTCCTCCTCCTCCTCTTTCCCCTCCTCCCCCCCTCCCCCTCCTCCTCCTACCTCCTCATTCCTTCTCTCCTTCCTTCCTTTCCTCCCTCTTCCCTGCCTTCCTTCCCATGTCATTTATCCTCTTCGTGTTTCCTCCTCCTCCTCTTCCTCCTCCTCCTTCTCCTCACTTCTCCCTCCATCTCTCCCTCCCTCTTCCCTCTTACCTCTTCCCCCTCCCCCTCATCACTCATCCCTTCTTCTGTCCTTCCCTTCTTTCCTCCTTCCTTCGTACCTCCTTCCCTTATCCCTCCTCCCTCCTCCCCCTCCTCCGTTCCCTGTCCCCACCACATCCTCCCTCCCTCCTTCCCCCTTCTTCCTCCCCTTCCTCCTCTCTCTCCTTTTCATTCTCCTCCACCTCACTTCTTCGTCCTTCCCTCGTTCCCTTCTTCTATGACTCCGTCTTCCCTCTCCCCTCTTCCCTCAGCCAGCTTTCTCATGAGTAGTTACCCCCTGCTTTCGTCCGAGACTTCCGCCCCGTTCATGATTCTGACGCTTGGAAGTTGCAACAGCTTCAGGAATGGAAGCAGCTGGTCATCACGATGAGACCCTCGCCTTATTCCCGCGCGCTATTGTCTGAAACGCTTGCAGCAGCTTCACGGATGGAGGGCGGCTGAGTTTCAAATTGCGGCGTTCGCCTCTTACAAGCTTGCACCCGTTTCAAGGGTGGCTGGAGTTTTTTTTTTTTTTTTTTTTTTTTTTTTTTTTTTTTTTTTTTTTTTTTTTTTTTTTTTTTTTTTTTTTTTTTTTTTTTTTTTTTTTTTTTTTTAAAAATATATATATATATATATATATATATATATAATATGTATATATATATATAAAGTGTGGCTGTCGCCTTAGCGCCATCGCACATCGGCCTCAACGGTTCGCAGCCGCTTCAAGGGATGGAGGGTGGCTTGTTCTCAAGCTGCGGTTCCGCTTGCAGCAGCTTCACGGGTCGAGGGGGACTTGGTTTCAAAACGTTGTTTTCTCTTCGGCGGCCGCGCGCATAACAATGTGGGCTTCATGGTTTAAAGACGCGCTTGAAGTATATTCGAGGATTCGTGGTTGATGGTTTTTCAACGTGAGGCGTTCGCTTTAGCGCCGCGCGTTTTATTCGCACGTTGCCAGCAGTTCGATATATATATATATATATATATATATATATATATATGTATATGTGTGTGTTTATATATTTACATATGTGTATATGGAGGGCGTGGTTGAAGTCCCAGAAAAGGTGTTCTGGGGCGGTTTAGGATTTCCTGGGCCCAGCAGTCACGTTGACTCGTGGTTTTGAAGTACCAGGTTTTTTTTCACGGATTCTCAAGCTTTTGTCATCCGATGAGGCGTTTCCCACAATTCGGATACAGTCTTGCAGGGACCCATGGTAATGTGAGGACTTGGGGGAGGGTTTATTGCAATAACGGTGATGCGTCTTCGGTTTGCGCTGGTCCTCTTCCTCCTCCTCTTCTTTCTCCCGTTCCCCCCCTCCCCTCGTGTCTAGGGGGCGCCGATCTGGTCCCCACCCGGGTCCCGCAGGGGGGCAAACTATATACATGTTCGCCGATCCTGCCCAAGTCTGTCCTGGCCCAAGATCGGCCTGGCCAGGATCGATGCAGCTGTAAAGTTGGCGCCCTCCGACGAAGGGGCCCGTGCGCCACTCGGGTTCCCCCGGGCCGAGGGGGCAGAGAGGAGGAGGAGGGCGGAGGAGAGGGAGGAACAGGAGGAGGAGGAGAAGGAGGAGTAGGAGGAGGACGAGGACTAGGAGGAGGAGGAGGAGGAGGAGGAGGAGGAGGAGGTGGTGGTGGTGGAGGAGGAGGAGATGGAGGAGGAGGAGGAGGAGACCAACAAACTGAATTTGCCCACTGCCTGATAGGATGCCCTACAGGAGCCGATCATATAACATATTACTGGAATTGCACTGTGTTTGTCACCCTCCTCTCGGCCCTGTCGGCCCGTTGCTTTTGGATCCCCTGGGCCGTCTCGGGCTTTCTGCGCCGCATCCCTCGCTCCGTGTACCCGCGGCCGCATACCTCCTACAATGAAATGCGTGCCAGGTCTCTTGCGTTAGGTCGCCCGATCGATCTCGAGGAGGCCCGCGCCCTTCTTCCAGCTGTCCGTGCCATGCTCTTGCGGTAGGCGGGCATGAACTGTACCGCCAGGGCATGCGGCAGGACGAGGATGAGGAACAGGAGGAGGAATAGGAGGAGGGAATGGAGGAGGTGGTGGTGGTGGGGGGTGGAGGAGGACGGGTGACGGAGGATGGAGGAGGACACAGGAGGAAGAGGAGGCGGAGGAGGAGGAGGAGAAGGAGAAGGAGGAGGAGGGCGAGGAGGAGGAGAAGGAGGAGGAGGAGGTGACGGAGGATGAGGAGGAGGTGGAGGAGGAGGAGGAGGAGGACCAGTGTAAATTCAAGGGTCATCAACGATGTTGGAACAAACCCTTCCTCCAAGGTCCCTCTTCATGGGCCCCTTCGTTGAAAGACAACCGCTTGAAATCCCTGAGGCATGCCAAAACATTGTTTCTGGGTCTTCAACGCCACGGATCAACCTGACTGCTGAGTCTTGACGATCCTGACGCGCATCAGAGAGCCATTTTCGGGACTTCAACACAGCGAAACAACATAACTTTTGTACCTGCACGGTCCTGAATGCTTCCAAAACGCAATTCTCGGTACGTTGATCATGGGAATGTGTACAACTCTTGGAACTGTTTAAAACGAATGTGCGCGGCGCTAAGGCGAGAGCCACATTTTGAAAACCACCCGCTCTCAATCCGTGAAGCTCTTGCAACTTTTGAATCGAATGTGTGCGGCGCTACGGCGAGAGCCACATTTCGAACACCACCCGCCCTCAATCCATGAAGCTCTTGCAAATGTTTATAACGAATGTGCGCGGCGCTGAGGCGAGCGCCACATTTTGAAAACCACCCGCCCACAATCCGTGAAGCTCTTGCACATTTTTTTCATAACAATGTGCGCGAGCGCTAAGGCGAGAGCCACATTTTTGAAGACCACCCACCCTCAGTCCGTGAAGCTCTTGGAACTGTTTAGAAAGGAATGTGTGCGGGCGCTAAGGCGAGAGCCACATTCTGAAGACCAGCCCACAATCCGTGAAGCTCTTGCGATTTTGTAAAACGAATGTTTGCGGGCGCTAAGGCGAGAACCACAGTTTGAGAACCACCCGCTCTCAATCCGTGAAGCTCTTGCAAATTTTAGCACGAATGTGTGCGGCGCTAAGGCGAGAGCCATATTTGAAAACCACCCGCTCTCCGTGTGCGAAACTGTTGCCACTTTTTAAGCTTCAGAGCCATAGATGGTGAAGGAGTCTCAGGCGAAACGCCCTGCCCGCTCTAAACACAGGCCTCGGGGTGCGACCGGGAGAAGTTATTCATAAGGAAGAGGAATGGATGAGGATGAGGGAGGAGGAGGCAGGAGGCGGGAGGAGGTCTGTTCGGGGAAGGCTTGACGAGGCAGAGGCCCGAGGGCAGCTGGGCGGGGAGGAGCCTATTCCTTGCCTTCTTCGGCGTCTGGCTGCTGTGCATGGCGCCCCTGCTGTCCTTCGTGCTCCTGCCTGCAGTCGACAAGCCGAGACCGGGCCTCAGCCGCCTTCGCCGATCGGTTCGGACGAGGGGCGGGGGGGCGAGGAGAAGGAGGAGGAGGAGGAGGAGGAGGAGGAGGAGGAGGAGGAGGAGGAGGGGGAGGGGGAGGAGGAGGAGGAGGAGGAGGAGGAGGAGGAGGAGGGGAGGAGGAGGAGGAGGGGGAGGAGGAGGAGGAGGAGGCGCAGGAGGAAGGCGCAGCAGTGATGGGTTCGAGGTTTGCGGCCGTGTTCGTCGCTGCTCAGCGGTTTCCAGCCCCAGGGCGCTCTCCAGCAGCGGCGCCTCGCCGCACGCGCTCGGGGGGCTGCCCAGGATCGTCCCGAAAGGCCGCCAGGAGCCGCAGCTATCACCCGAAAGCCACGGGACGAAGTTCGTCCGGGTTGGGCGACAGGGGGGAGGGAGGAGGAGGAGGGAGGAGGAGGGAGGAGGAGGAGCAGGAGGAGGAAGAGGCGGGGGAGGAGGAGGAGGAGGAGGAGGAGGAGGAGGAGGAGGAGGAGGAGGAGGAGGAGGAGGAGGAGGGATAGGAGACGGGGGGTTACGAGGTCAGCTGCACGCGGCTGATTCTGGCCTCGCCGCTGGGCGCTTTCCTCGACCCTCGAGATAACATCGGCGCCTCGGGGGCCGGGAGGCGTCAGGAAAATCAGCCGCGTGGGCTGATTCGCACCCCCCTTACTAACCTCCGGGAGGCGTAGGATCGAGATTTTTCGCTCCATAGCTTTCCGGAACGCTCTGAACGACCGCTGCGCCCTAGACGCCCCCTCACACCACTAAATGTCACAGATCCCCACTATATCCCGGTCCGATTTTGTCCCGATCCTGGCCGCGTCTTTGTGTGGTGACAACACAGTGTGGGGAGTCAGTGGTGGGGATTCGGGGTCACCGCACGGTTTTGCGACTCGGGTCGTGCTCCCAGGACGTCTCGGGCGACCAGGGCTTCCAGGGTCCCAAAGCCGTGTGGTTACGCACCGTGCGGCGAGGTCCTCCTTAAGATTCCGAGGTCAACACGCGGTGTGTCACCACGTTTTTTGAGACCTCCAATCGTACGCCCCTTCTCGTCCTGCGCGGGATCATCGGCTGGGCTGGGACGGCGTGGTGGAACAAGAATGCCTCTGCTGCTCCGCGAGAGCTTGCTCTGTCGCCCCCCCTCGTACACAGGGGGTGACTCGCCGCCGGCCCGGCCGCCCTCGCGGTGTCGTCCTGGCCCTGCTGCTCCTGCTGCTGCACCTCCTCGTCCCTCTTCCCCCTCTTCCTGCTCATCTGTGTTCCCGGTGGTCGAAGCGAAGCGGCAGGCCTCGTTTGGACCTGGGCGGTGCTTATCCGTTCGTCGAATGCGGGCGTATTCTTCCTTCGCGTGCCGCTCTCGCGCCAGGGAGACAAGAAAATGGTCGACCCCGTACTCTTGCCGCCAGCACTCTCTGCCGCCCCCCCCCCCCCTTCCTTCCACTAGTTGCATGTGCGCTGCCTGGCGCTCCGTGTGGTGATGCGCCCGCGGGCGGGGGGGGGGACCTCTCTTTCGCTTTCCCCCTCCTCTTCGCCACTCGTTTCACGCGGAGCCTCCTGGAGGAGGAGGAGGATGAAGAGGAGGTCGAGGATGAGGGATGGAGGGGAGGGAAGAAATCCGAGGAAAAGGGGAAGAGGCTGGGAGGGGCCAGAAATGGAGGAGGAGGAGGAGGAGGAGGAGGAGGAGGAGGACGAGGACGAGGACGAGGAGGTGGGAGGAGAGGAGGAGGATGAGGAGGAGGAGGCGCTGGAGGAGGGCAATGATAAACTTACAATATAGTAGTGCCACGCGATGGAAATTTGAGAAACGGAGGAGGGATACGAGATGAGGAAGGTGCGGTGGAGGAGAAGCAGCGGAAATGATGATTAGGATCTGAGAGGGTGATGAAGCGTGGGGGAGAGGGACGAGGACGAGGGGACAACGAGCATGAGCGATGATGATGAGGACGTGTATGATGATGATGATGATGATGATGATGATGATGATGATGATGATGAAGATGATGATGATGATGATGATGCTGATGATGATGACGCTGATCATGATGATGATGATGATGCTGATGAACATGCTGCTGCTGATGATGGTGGTGGTGATGATGATGGGGATGCTGATGATTATGATGATGATGCTACTGATGATGATACCGATGGCCATACTTGTGATGGTGGTGATTCTGGTGCTGATACTGATGACTCTGATGATGATGACGACGATGATGCTGCTGATGATGATGCTGATGCTGGTGATGATGCTGATGCTGATGATGCTGATGATGATGCTGGTGATGATGCTGATGATTATGATGCTGCTGCTGCTGTTGCTGATGATGATGATGATGATGATGATGATGAATCTGATGATTCTGCTGATGCTGATGCTGATGATGATGATGATGTTGCTGATGCTGCCGATGATGCTGCTGCTGCTGCTGATGATGATGATGATGATGATGATGATGCTGATGATGATGATGATGATGATGATGATGATGATGATGATGATGATGCTGATGACGGTGATGGTGATGGTGATGGTGATGATGCTGATGATGATGGTGATGGTGGTGGTGATGATGGAACAGGTGCCAAACCTGATACGCACAACAGAAGGGAGCACGGTCCACCTTCCAGGTTGGGTTTGGGAGCTTGATGGAAAAACGGAATTTCCCCAACCACGGGTCGTTGACAACTTGGGGGTGCGAGCCGCGAGCAGATCTAAGCGTCGGAGGGTCAGGGGCTCTGTCCACCATTCGCCTCGCCTCTTGGGAAGAGCAGAACGTACACGCAAACCACCACAAGGACCTTCTCCTCCTCCCGACCTTGGGGAAGAGCATCACAGAAAAGACGAGCACCCGTCCACCGCCACCGCCTCTCTTCGTGCCTTGGGGCCGTCCGCCGTCACCACGCGTCGCCACAGCTGCAGAACCAGAGCCTCTTCGGAACTCCGGGCGGGCCTCTGGGATTCCTGCTGGGGCGTCCTGGATGTGCCTCGTCGCCGCCCCCGGCGCGGTCCGCGCCCCCAGGGAAGGGTGTCCAGCGCAGGTCCGATGGCCCTCGGTCGCGGACCTCCGAAGGGTTATGCTCGTGCAGTGCGTGTTCTCCCCCCGACGTCGGGGAGGGCTGTCCACTCGCTGACCTCTCCGGCGCCCTTGGGGCACGGGCGCTCCGCCTGCTCCCTGGGGATCCTGTCCTGCTGCCCGTCCTCATCCTCGTCGCCGTCGTGCCGCTCGCTCCGCGTTCTCCTTCGCCTCTGGGGCTGCAGGTGGGGGCGCGCAGAAGCAAACCGTGTACTTTTCGTCAGGGTACCCCGGGTTTCTTCGCTCCGCGCGCTGCGCGGTGCCTTCCCGCGGCCGTCAAAGAAGCTGCTGCGTTCAGGGTGCTCCGTTTATTCCTTGTGCGCGCAGGGAGGAGCAGGAGGAGGAGGAGGAGGACGAGGAGGAGGGGGAGTGGGAGGAGGAGGAGGAGGAGGAGGAGGAGGAGGAGGAGGAGGAGGGGGAGGAGGAGGAGGAGGAGGAGGAGGAGGAGGAAGATGGGGGGGGTGGAAGAGGAGAAGGGTGCGTACAGGGTGCCCGTCGCGCGTGGGTTTTCAGGGTTGGGTTTCTTGCAAGGGTGTATTGCAGCCGCGCCCGCACTGTTAGCCCCCCGTTCGGGCTGGTGGAGCGGCCTGTGTTTATACCCCCTCGTACCCGACAACAGGAAAAGGTGGCCGTC